CGGTGGAAACTCGACCTGTAATCGGCGTGTGATCAGCGAGAACTACAGGGCAAACTAGCTTCCTATTAAGTGAATTGCATCTACATCAACTCGAAATTAACTCGCTCATCATGAACTCTCGATAAGATATCAAGGAAGTTCCAGACTAGAAAGAAGACTTCATATTGCTTGTAAGTTTGTAAAACTTTTGTACATAAATGTTTGCAATAACTCTTTGTAATAACTGTTATTGTAAATTATATTGTTGTTTATATATTAAAACATATCTGTATTAAAAAAGAAACTGTGTGTGTATCAATCTTGTTGGCAAATATCATAAATTGGATACATATCGGCATTTATTTAATTACTGAATATAAATTATCATTTAGCTCGGTTTCAGACCATTCGAAATTGTAATACGTAACATGACATACAGTTGTATAATAAAACAACATGGAGGAAATAAGTTACTTCAATTGTCTTATCTAAGAAATTGTATCATGAACATAATAATAACTATCAAGTGAACAAGGGAAAGAAGGAGGTAGCAACACTAAATTCCCTACACAGATAAAAAAAAGATGAATTCTACAGAAGTGACAACCATTTCTTAAACATACGTTTAGCGAGACCGTAAAGTGACTTTAAATCGGAATTCACAAAAACATATAGACAGGATAACCTTTAACTCTTAAATTAGCTATTTGGTTTTATACCTTTCGCTACTGGTAGGATTCAAATATTGAATTATGTTGAGTAATTTTATGTTTTTACCACAGTAAAATGAGCACACACACACAATTAGGTAAAACCACCAATATTCTATGTAAAATACATAGAAAACACAAAAGAATCTCAGTTTATGATTACATTCATACTATACTTATCTCATTCGAATCTACAATCTTAGTGTCCAACATTATATATGTATATATATATATATATTAAGAGAGAGAGTTTGTTTGTTTTGAATTTCGCGCAAAGCTACACGAGGGCTATCTGCACTGGCCGTCCCTAATTTAGCAGTGTAAGACTAGAGGGAAGGCAGCTAGTCATCACCACCCACCGCCAACTCTTGGGCTACTCTTTTACCAACGAATAGTGGGATTGACCGTCACTTTATAACGCCCCCACGGCTGAAAGGGCGAGCATGTTTGGTGGGACGGGAATTCGAACCCGCGACCCAATGATTGCGAGTCGAGCGCCCTAACCACCTGGCTATGCCGGGCCATTATATTAAGAGGAGACTCACGTGTAAATGCAAATTGAAATTCAGTAATGCAGTGAAAAGCAACAATGAATTTAAAACGTGACTACAAGTTTTTAGAAGCAGTACGAGACAAAAACACAGAGCGGAATCATAGGAAAAATGAATTACAGGGTGGAGGAAAAGCGCGTGTAATTCCAACACTTCCGCGAACTTAGAAAAGGCAGACTCATTTTCTTTGTCTAGCAAAGCGAACAAGTAAAAGTTTAGAAAACTTTTCATGGCTGGAGATAAATAGAAAATAACAGCGATAGCGGCTTTTGATAATCTAATGTGAAATAGCCAATCATCACCTGAGGAGATAGATTTTGAGTGACGTAACGGAACTGGTATAAATTTAGATTAAACAAATCATTCAAACCATATGTTGTTGTATTTTATGTGTTAGTAACGAGTACCACAGCACACAAAGCTCTTAAATTCCAAATGTTTCACACTGATTTGTTTTATTTTAAATTTTAAAAGGCCCGGCATGGCCAGGTGGTTAGGGCGTTCGACTCGCAATCTGCGGATCTTGGGTTCGAATCCCCGTCCAACCAAACATGCTCGCCCTTTCAGCCGTGGGGACGTTGGTAAATGAGTAGCCCAAGAGTTGGCGGTGAATGGTGATGACTAGCTGCCTTCCCTCTAGTCTTTCACTGCTAACTTAGGAACGGCTAGGGCAGATAGCCCTCGTGGAGCTTTGCGCGAAATTCAAACCAAACCAAACTTTTAAAAATTCTAATGGCATAACCAAACACTGGTGAAATTGAATAGTCCAGAAGATAGAACATGAGACTCAGCGACCTTGTACTTTGACTTAAAAAGGAGTAGTTGCACATCGTACTTCCCTGTAATACAGTGCATTGTTAGCCCTAATTTGTGTTGGTACTTCCGTTCCTATTCAAACGCACAAAAGCTACTTGACCATTTATGTCAGAAAGTCGTGACATAATCATGGCAGACACATATACAAATATGTAGTATCTTGGGCAAGGTTTTACTTTTTTTATCTTGATTAATGTGATAGCTACTTGAACAATCATATGTCAGAAAGTCGTGACATAAACATGACACACGTGCACCTACATGTGTTATTTGGTGCAAATGTTATTTGTTTATCTTCACTGGTGTAATGGTTTTGGATACAAAAGAAGAAACAGTATTGCGAAATACATAAATGTATATCTAGACAAAATTATGTAACATTTTTATCTAATGTTGCCTGCTATAACGAAAAACTTGTTTTTGAGTAATATAATCTGACCTAAAACCAACACAGAAGCTGAAAATGTTAACATTTTAATACAGCTGTAAATAGAGGAGCACTCAGTAAAGCGCAGTCTTCCACCACGCAGTGTTGATCATTTTCGGCTCTCAATGATGGACACGGACCATTTGTGGCAGAACAATGAGGAATACTATTTTACATATGTCCACCAAGTTTAATCAAAATCTGATCATTTTTGACTGAGTTATAGAGTAAAAATGGTGTGAAAAATCGGTTCCCATGTTAACAGAGAGGGGTTTTGGATTTTAGTAAGTTTGCTGCAACCTTGACCCTCCAAAAACTAATCACTTGTAATCTGGGTCATAGCCCAAGTATATACCAACTTTCGTCCAAATCCATTCAGTCGTTTTCAAAGGAGTGAAAACATAACCTCCGTCCACCTTCGGTGGCGAAGGTAATAATTCACCTTTACATCAACTCCAACGTTAAGAGCCCGTTCACAATGGGGCTTGTTTTTGTAGTCAGTACAATTCGGTTCGTTTGGAGAACAATATGAACAACAAGTTAGATTGGTAAACGAAAAATAGTTCTCGGTCCTCCTGGTAAAAGAACCGAGTTCGTTTCGCTTCATAAACTTTAATGTGACCATTGGAAGGTTTCGGTGACTGCTGACAAAACACGGAAGTGAACCATGAACACGAACTGCAGTTCAATTCCAAACGAATTCGACACGTTTGTACACAAGGTAAATGTGAACAGCTAGCAAGAGAAATGAACTGAGGCCATTTGAAAGTAACCCAGTTTGAGTATTTCTTTAAAACGTCGTTTGTTTGTTGTTGTGAACGTTTTTGAGTGAACCAAGCATCAGGTAAGTGTTTCTCGACACATCGTTGTACACAACCTATCAACGATTACGAATTCCAGAGAAGCTAATTAAGACATGAAATACTGTTAAAATGAGCCTTAAATAAAATAAATAATGAAGAACATTTTTAAACCACCTTAAATATACTTTTCTTATACAAAATTTTCGGAATTTTTTGAAACAAACAAAAAAATAAAGATCTCTAAATTATAAGAAAAATGAAATTTCCAGAACAAATATTTTGTATTATATATATATATATATATATATATTCAGAGAGTTTGTTGTTTTAAATCTTGAGCTCAAAACCATAAGCAAATGTCATTTCGTAGACAGTTTTTTATTTCGTCTTATATGTTTCCAGAGAATATATTAAAACTTGTATAATTACAAGTTGTTCATCTTTTTCTTCCTCATTGTTACTTTTTTATTCCAACACCAAAATAGTTCCACATATTAAAAATTAAGTAACGTGTTACTAATTGCGATAAGTAGTTAAAAAAGCCTTTTTTGTGCTTCTGTGAATAAAGTCTTTATAACTACTGAAATAATGTATATTTATCCTAAATAGAAATCTTACAATAGTTTAAATAAACACTATAACAAATGTGCGAAATTACATAATTAAATACACCAGAATTGCCACGAGCTGAAGTTTTGAAGTTGACAGTTCTGTCGTTCGGATAATTTATGAGACATTAAAATTTGTAAAACAAACAACAACATACAAACAATTTAGAACTTTTGTTTTATACAGTCCTTCTGAGTCATTTTTCAGGAACCATTGGAGAGTATAATATAAATTACAATTATAATAGTAAATTTAGGCATCATAAGATATAATATAGTTTAATTTTTTTTTGTGTTCCAAAGAATTGTAGGAAAAAACCCCCATAAAATTGGAAACAAAAATTACTTTATATTTTCCATTTTCTTGGGAAAGTTATCGATCCTGGTGAGAATAGCTAGCTTTCTTTTATCTTTAACTTCGACCTACTGTAAAAAAGTGTTAGGATTTTCGCCCTAAAAATTATTTTGGGCAAAGAATTAAGACTACTTTCGCTTTGTTATATAACCGGATACTTAGAGTTCAGTAAAGATATACGAAACAATATTTTGGAAAATCCGTGTTTTAATACTTTTTCACAATAGTTTAGCTCATAACTGTCATAAAATCAAAATAAAATTCTGAAAAAAAGAAACATTTTACCCCTTGTATTACATATGTAAAACAATCAAGTAGATGTGTTGAACATAAGAGTTTGGAGCAATTTATTCAGTTGTGAAGTAGATAGATTATTATTAAGATTAGGACGAAACTTGTACAATTTTCCCCACAAATCTATTACGGAAATAAAGTCAACGTTTAATAGAACAAAATAAATTTGAAATAGTCTGTCCTCAGTCTCAAAATATGGTGAAAATTGTTTTACTTACTATTTTTATTGTAAAAAGATCAAATACTGTGAGAGACAGTATCCTTTTAAATGTATTGTGTGCTGTTTAACGTTGACTCTATTTCTTTAATACATCTGTGTAGATAGACATTTTATTTAATTTGAAAAATAAAACTTAAAACTAACGAAGCTACTTTAAATCTCAAATAAATCTCAGTCTCAAACTGTGAATATATTTTCTCGTAAGTTCTGAACACTGTAAGACTAGAACTATCTTACCTTGGGTGAAGTTAGTAATACTTTCGTTTCCCAAAGCCTTGTTGATGATGGCTCCATGCTCTGGTTCTTTAGTAATGATATAATCTATAATAACATCCTGACTATCTAAATCTTCTGCTCGAAGAACTTTGTTCGTAAAACGGAACCCGAGCTGACCATGGTCCAGTGGTCCGATGAATGAAGCACCTCTATTTACTACAATTTGAGGTATTCTGTTATCGACAGGCACGATTTCTATTTCTACTGTCTGGGGTCTGCGAGTTTCTTTCGTGTAATCTGGATACACATAAAAATCCATATGAGTTCCATCTGTTATGGTGAGCGAAAAGTTGTCCTCGGTACTTTCGCTCCCATCGTGATGGTAACTTATTCTGTTTTCTCGAAGGTCCTCCATGGTAAAAATCTTAATAGGATGAAGATTATTGTATAAGATTTTACCATGTACAGGGACCTGGGTTATAGTGATTTTCAACTTATTATCATCCGTGTCTTTGTCTTCTATTTTCAATTCAAAAGGAGTAATAAGTCCCTTCCCACCCTCAGGGATTCGAAGCTTATTGAAAAACACAATTGGCTTCTTGTTGTCCACGTCACTGATAGAGATTCTGAATGTTCGAAATACAGAATTGTAACCATCTGTAACCTCAAACTCGAAACTGTCCATTTTTATCTCATCATCATCGGTGTGCACGTAGTAGATCTTGTTGCCGGCAAGATCTACTTGAGTGAATGACGTTACTGGACTACCAGGATTGTCTGTAGATTCTAGATGCCCTTTGGTAGGGGCCCTGGTTATGGTGAACCTTAACTGTTCATCTTCGCTGTTGAGGTCACTGGTGCTAATAACATCTGTTGTCAATGTAACCTTCCCTCCTTCCAAAAGTTCCACGCCTTTATTAATAACATCAGGGTACACTAGATCGATACCTTCCACAGAAATCCAAAAATACCTGTCAACATAAGTGTTGTGGCCATCAGTAACATCAAACTTAATCAGGTCTCTTACACCTTCCCTTCCTGTGTGAATGTACATAATCAATTCTTCATCAATATCTCCTTGTGTAAAATTAGTGCCTTTGGTTAGGTTGAATAAAGGTAATCGAGAAATGGAATGCAAGTATACAAGGTCTCCATGTTTAGGAGGTTGTCTAATGACAAACATTATAGTGCTGTCGTCAGTGTCTATGTCTTCCGCTTTCAGTACTCTGTTTGTAATTAGTTTTACTTCACCTCTGCCTACTTCCAATCCATCGTTGATTGCTAAGCGAGGAGTTTCATCGTCAACAGGGTAAACCATAACAACAATCTTCTTGCTAGCATTGTGTATCCCATCAGTTATTTCCAACTCGAATTCATCTTCTTTTGTTTCAGAGTCATCATGCTCATACATAATGTTCGATCCTTTGGATATCTGATCTAGGGTAAAATCATCAATTTCTTTATCTCCAGTTGCCAACTGGATCACAATTTTGCCATGCTTAGGTTTGTTCTTTAATCTGAAAGTTAAGGTATCCTTTGGGACATCCAAATCGTCTGCATTGAGTATGGGCAAGTCAATACTAAGTTTCATACCTTCTTCAACGACGAACTCTCTCATAAATATCTGAGGAATTTCATCATTGGTTGGATCAATTTGAATAGGAAGAACAGATTGTGGAGAAAAATTTATTCCATCCGAACAGCTAATAGTAAGTCGATCATCGGTAGGTTCCACTCCCTTATGGACACTCTGAACATAATTTATATAGCCATTTTTTATGTCAGAAATTTTGAAAGCAGTCACTGGTATTCCAGCCCTGGATTTCTCTGAACCTGGACCAGGGGATATATTTTCTACATATCCATGCAGCGGTTGCACTAGAATAGTACACACTATATCATTATCTTTTGTATCTATATCAGTAGCATTTATATGAAATAACGTCACAGAAGATTTGTTGGCTTCAGGGACAACCAATTTCGATCCTACATTTACAACAGGAGCTACACTATCCACTGGTTCAACATTAACGTTGACATGGATGTACTCAATTTTATTTCCTCCGAGTAATAAGTCATTGGACATGTCAGAGATAGACAAATTAAAGGTATCTGTAGTACTGTTTTCTCCAATCTCAGCTCCATTATGCACATAATATACTCTTTTACCCTCTATATCTTCCTGGGTAAATCTGTCAGTGTTGGCTCCATTCAGTTCAATTCTGCCCTGTCTTGGAGGGTAGTCAATAAGGAAAGTGATTTTCAAGTCATCAGTGTCTGGGTCAGAAGCTTTAATAATTTTTGTGGTGATGAGTGAACTTCCATTTTCCTTCACATCTAGAGATGTACCGATTGTACCTGGAGAAATTTGAAGCGCTGGGGCTTCGTCATCAATAGGACGAATTTGGATGTTAATAGTTACTGGTACTTTATGTATGCCATCTGAAGTTTCAAGTTCAATTTTATCATTTTCCTTCTCGGCTCCACTATTTATGTAGCTCACCAGTCCATTAGCAATATCATTCTTTGTGAATGTGCTCCCTTCTTTAAGATTTATAGCTCCATAATTCAAGATACCATAACTAGGAGTTTGTTTGACAGTAAACTGAATCGAGTTAGAGTCTGTGTCGACATCTTTAGCATCTAAAACATCAGGACTAAGTGTTACAAAACCGTTTTCAAAGACTTCCAATCCTTTATTGTGGATAGTTGGAGGCTTGTTGTCCACAGGTCGCAATCGGATAATGAATGTTTGTCCAGGAAGAATATTTCCTACCGAATCTTCCACTTGAAACTCAAACTGTAAGATCCTTGGAATGATACCTAGCTCAACTGATGGAGGTTTATAAGCTATCTTATGATGATTAATTTGAGCTTGAGTGAAGTTAGTGACTTCTTGATCAGGCTTTTCAGATAAAACTATTTTTCCTGGATCCAATGGATTATTTGAGTCAGTATCATATGGCTTACGTGTGATCATATACTTCAGATTTCTATCTTTAGTATCAACATCCGTGAAGCGAAGATGCTTCTTTGTGATGTCAGTGAGCTCAAATTCATCCACAATCATTTCAAGAGGGGTTCCTGGATAGAGCTTAGGAGGGATGTTATCAATGGGCATGATTTTTATTACAAATTCCTTATCATCAGATTCGTTTGGAGGAACGTTATCATCAGAAACACGAAACTTAATGTAATCCATTACGGGTTCAGTTTTGTGGCCACCACTGTGTCTGTAAAATATGCTTCCTTCTAAAAGATTCAGTTCTGTCCAAGTTGTAATGGGTCTCTCGTAGATCCCGTCCACAAAATCCCAATTCTGTGGGTCATCTGGCGGCTCAAACTGTTTCATAAATATTTCTCCTTCAGAAGAATAAGGCTTTTGTAGTTCAAATTTTATTGTAAAATCATCACTATCAACATCAGTGGCGCTTAAAACGAATGGTGTGATTTCTACTTCCTCTCCCTTGCTAATAGTTAGACCTGTGTTAATATTTAGCATAGGTGGCTCATCATCTTCTGGGTAAATAGTAATAGGGAAAAGAAATTCGACATCTTTTACACCATCATCTAGTCTAAAGATTATATTGTCACTATAGGTATCACTACCATCATGTTGGTATGTTACTAAACCAGCATCTAAGTCAGCAGGTGAAAACTGTTTCACTGGGCTTCCCATAAACAACAGTTGACCATGTCTCAAGCCGTCCACCACAGACACGGTGACATCATGAATGTTATTTTCATCAGCTATTTCCAAGTTCTTAGAACTCTGCAACCTCCTAGACTGGCCTTCAAAAAGCATAAGACCAGAGTTTCGTGTAGCTAGAGGAGCTAAAGTGTTCTTGGGATGAACCACGATCATTAAGCTAAATGGTTCTGAATTCAAGCCCTCGGCGTCCACTACTTCCATCTCCACTTCAAAAGTTCTTCTAATGTCAGAATCAGATGCAGGAGGTTTGTAAGCTATCTTTAAATCATCAAGATCTTTTTGGTAAAAAGATGAAATGGGAACATTCTGGTCATCAGTACTGATTATTTGACCCTCTCCATAACCCAGTGGAGACGTTATGTTAAATATGAGTTTATCTGAAGGAGTCTCAATATCTTGTGCTGACAGTATTCGCGGGGTGATAGCCGTCATAATGAATTGATTTACGTCCAATAACAACAAAGAGTTGAAACTTGGCTGTGGAGGATTGTTTGGCTGGCCATCTTTTATTCTCACAGTCACTTGAAAGTATTCTTGTTTAAGCAACTTTCCATTAGAATCAGTAATTTCCACTATCATTGGGATGTAATCTTGATTAGGCGATTTATAAGGAAAGGTGTGTTTGTATCGAATATCAGCCTTTAAGAAACTATCACAGTCTTGCAGCACCCCAGCGCTAGTGTTATTTACTAGCTCTCCATATCGTGGCAAGTCATTAGCATTTCCAAGTGTCATCACTTTACACTTCTGGATGTTGTTGTTGTAGGTAAACTGAAGTGCTTTGTTATCAATGGGTGTGCTTAATCCTAGCAACTTTTCCACTGTAATCGGCATGTTTCTAGTAACAACTTCCAGTTGCTCGAACAATACTTGAACATTTATAGTAAACGGCACGATTATAGTGTCTTCGGCCATATCATAACGAAGAAGTAACTTTACCCTATCTTGGGGAGGCGTGCGAGCTCCGAAGTGAGAGTACTGCACCTCCCGAAGGCCAAACTGGCAAGGGAAATGAGTAGGGGTCAGTTTACCTGGCCTTTGAGAGAGAGGGTCGTTTTGAATGACCTTGACAGTACACCGGTCGCCATCGCGGACCCTAATCTTCAGATCCTTCACCGGGTCAATAAACACAGACCTTCCAAACGGTACTTTAATCGCATTATTTGATTCGATTATATTTGACTCAGAGATAGAGGCACCATGCTGTTGCTCGTGTGTTAGGATATTGCACGAGAGGAGTATAAACAATACAAAGCTTAGCTTCCGCCACATGTTTCCAGACAAAAAGTTCAAAAATAAAAACAATTACTTTTACAGATAGAACCCTTTCCAAACAATCACTCGTTGACTCTTCCCGCGGTGTCCTGAGCTGCCTCGCGATGCTTGCTTCGCATGTTGAAACTGATAGGACGCTAACCAAATACTGGCCGTAGAAGTACCGAGCGAGCAGCTACAAAGCCACTACGGTAATAACCTCGTGAGGTGGCTTCTAGCTGCGCACCCTCGGACCCGGTTGGTTACACATGTTTGCTCTACTCGGAGCAAGCGCTTGAGCCGTCCAATAACAGCAACTAATCTTGTTTAGGTAACGTTGTGCTCGTAGGGTAATATGTAATGTGTGTACTGAGCAGCAATGGACCAACAAACACGTACACATTCTAATACTCTTCCTTGACGTTTTCGTTCATTAGTTGCAGTATTAATGCATGCTGAAGCTGTTGCGTAATTTCGTCAGAAGAGTGATTATGAATCTCGTTAAAACCGATGTAAAGTGATGATTTAACTTACTAAAACACAGCCATTACCATTAGTATTTAAGTTCAGTAAACTCTTCGGTATGTTCGAAAACACAAATGTTGTAGTGAATAAAGTCCATTTTCAAGATAGTTATGCACTTACTGTTTCATAAGTTGATCCGAAGTTGACGAGTGAAAGTCAAGTCAATCAAATAGAAATAATATAAACACGTATGGAAATTAAAGCTCTTCTAGTCCGCTGTATTTCTTAAAAGGCATTTAAAACGATTCTTCGGCACGTATCACGGGTTCATTTAACGTGTAATTTTAAATTGTTCAGTGTTAAAACACCAGAACTTACCATGTCCTTTTCTCACGGTTCATGTCGCTGTAAGCACGATAATAGAAACCATTTCTTACAATTCCAACATTTTCCAAATTCATTATAAGATTTATTATAATACCAAAACTCGCGTACTTTAATATCCAGCAGATGGTGTTTTCAATTTTCTATATTACTCTAACACGAAATAATAACATAAAATTCATGCAGAAAATAGATATATTTAGGAAAAAAATTAATAAAGAGTTATTTTTACCAAAAGATCCATAAAAAAACAAGAGACGTTTTAAGTTTGGTTTACTAAAGTCGCTAGCATTTTGGCCCCGTATAAAAAAAAGGAATTGCACTACATTAATATTTACTTATTATGTTGAAATGTAGTTTGTAACATTAATACTAATATTCTTGCGATTAGGCTTAAGTATATTTCAATCACAACCAAGACTCAGCTGATCTACTTATACAGTCCATAAGAAAAATAAGCAAAGCTAGAAACCGCGTTTCGATACCCGTGGTGGGCAGAGCACAGATAGCCCCTTGTGTAGCTTTGTGCTTAACTTTAAACAAACAAACATGAAAAGTAAGAAATGACTTGCATTCCAGTTTAGAAAAGAGTTGATTTCCAACTAGGTTTAACTGAAACTTCAATAAAATAATCATTTTAACTATATAAAGATCCACACTGATATAGTTAAAATGATTATTTTATCATTATAAACTGTGGTAAATATATGATAAAACAATAATTTTAACTATATAGAGATCTACACTGTACCACAGTTTATATGTGATAAAATAATAATTTTAACTATATAAAGATCTACACTGTACCACAGTTGATATATGATAAAATAATCATTTTAACTATATAAAGATATCTCTAAGACTCGTACAAATATTTGAAAATTTAAATAACTGAAAAATTAGAATAAGGCTCCCTAAAAACATTAGGCAGGAAAGATCAAGATTAACTAATTCTTCATAGAAATAAATATTTCAAACTTCTCTTGGAACAAATATACCACTTATAATATTTTTATGTATTAAATATAGTGCGCATGTGTTTTAAGGATTGAAATAGGTAAAAAAATCACGTAACTCAAAACTAGCACAAGCGTCATCTAGTGACAGGCGAATGAACTAAACTAAGATTTCCGAAAATAATTTGTTTTGAGTCAATGACAATTCGAATGATCAAATGCTTATCTAATAAAAGAAACAAATCTAACGCAGAAGAAATGAGAATTCTTATTAGCAATATTAAGCAACATGTACGGTGTGATAACGTATTTTACAACTATAATTATTATACAATTTTCTATCTTTTGTTATTTTTTTAAAAGTGGCCGTTATAGAAAAATAAACATATATAATAATCACGAAAAGGAATGAGAAATTCGCTATATGAAGCTTATTAAGACAAAGGACGTAAACGTAAATTTAAAACGAACTTCGTACTATTTGACTGACTGAAATGTATCTTTGTTCTTCAAGTCCTGATATGCCAGGTGGTGTTAGATTTATATACTATAGTGATCCTGAAATATAATCACATATATCACGCATTGTTAAAACTTCTACAGTACCCTGACGGAGAATAGATGAAGCCCTTCAGTGGCATATCTGCTGATTTACAACGCTACAAACTGGGTTTCGATACCCGTGGTGGGCAGAGCACATATAGCCCATTTTGTAGCTTTGTGCTCAACTTCAAACAAACAAGAATGAAAGAAATTGTTTAAAACTTTCAATAACCATGAATGTACCTACTGAACAAAACCACAGCGAATTACTATTTTATCTAAAGCCATTCTGTTGAGTATTGTATAACTTAACCCTGAATGTACCTACTGAACAAAACCACAGCGAATTACTATTTTGTCTAAATCTATTCTGTTGAGTATTGCATAACTTAACCCTGAATGTACCTACTGAACAAAACCACAGCGAATTACTATTTTATCTAAAGCCATTCTGTTGAGTATTGTATAACTTAACCCTGAATGTACCTACTGAACAAAACCACAGCGAATTACTATTTTATCTAAAGCCATTCTGTTGGATATTGTATAACTTAACCCTGAATGTACCTACTGAACAAAACCACAGCAAATTACTATTTTATCTAAAGCCATTCTGTTGAGTATTGTATAACTTATCACATGAACGACACATACGCTTTGAAAGTGAAAACTTGAAATGGCTAATATTTTGCAAAGTGTAAATCATGACCTGGGTTCAGATTTGTTGCATCAAGATATTTTCTATTTATGATAGAGAAATGATACTCCGAAACATATGTATATGAAAAATCGTCTCAAATGATATGCATCATGGCCCAAGATACTATTTAGTGAAGTACTACAAAAATAAAGTAAAAAAAAATCAATTTATTTTACTGTGATATTAAATTCTTTAACGTAATATGCTCCTCTCTCGTGAATATAACACCAAGACAGGTAAATGTTTACTCTATCTAACGAAACGTTCTGTTATTTTGAACTTTTATTGATCAACTAAAACTTGAGTCGTCTACTTCAACTATATCAAAATACTGTAACGTTTTTTCTTTTTTTTCTTGCACCTTGGCTAAAACGTGGAATGCATTATTTAAAGATAAAATTTTAATCACTGATTTTTCAAAAAGCCAAGCTTCTTACAAACACAGAAGAACGAACAGTGAGAAATTCTTTAAGGATTTTTATACAGTTACTACAGTTGTAGATATTCGAAATATTAAACAAACAGTGTAACTAATACAAGAAAAACTGGTTCTCTAGCAAACAACTTCGATATAAAAATGCTGACGGATTAGCGGTTTTATAAACATACAAATTCAAATAGAGTATTTCAGAACTTATTGGCTAGAACGCCAAGCGGTGACTTTGAGCGATAGCCTTTCCCAGCTTGAGTATTATTAATTTGACGGTAAGGTCGATGTTGTCACTTGATCTCCTTGCTCACAAGCGGTTGTTAGTTCCAAAACAAAACATGTGCAATTTACGTTTCTTTTGTTTATAAGAGTTTGAAAAATTTCCTTTCACGTTTGTTATCAAGTAAGGGATGAAAAACACGAACAGTAAACAGGTGTGTTAACTGAGTCAGCGTTTCTCTACACCTGTACACACGAGTTAAAATCTTAACATCAGGCTACTCTCAAGGCAAAATTTTGACGGATTTGATCTGTTGTTCATTCTTACTGCCGTAGATCGAGTTGTTTATGAGCTGAACGAAGGTTGGTTTATACAAAAAGTGATTAGTCAAATATACATGTAGATTTGAAGACTGGTTTTTCCACCAGGTAATGTGAGTTTTGACGACATATTAGGTACTATAATACTGCTCGATTAGGACACACCATTATTCTCTCGATAAGGAAAATAAACGTGCCATCCATCTACTTCCTATTATTTTTCTAAAATAATACTCTGCTTTTTAATTCCTGTTCAGCGCATATCACAAGGTTAGTAACAACAACGTTGATAATAATTTGTAAATCACCTACTTGAACTTCCACCATTTCTCAATGTCCCATTTGAAAAAAAATAAAATAATCACAACGATCATATGCTGGGTCCGAGTCTCGCAAAATTTTTAACTGGTCCTTATCAGGTCCACTCTAGGAACATGTATCCATATAAATTAATTTAATTTTATCAATTGTAGATGAGAATTGTTTTAAAAAGAAAACCACAACTGAAAATACGTATGTGCATCTGTGTATAACATTAAACAAAAGTTTTTAATCTTAAAAACTCAAAATTTTAAAAAAACAACGATTATTCTATTCACAATTCTATAAAAAAAATTGGATTGTTTCCACTCTCCAAATTACTAAAATACAATAACTTACTGTAAAGAATAAAAAGTGGTAAAAAAAAAACGATGAAACTAGAAAACTATTTAATACACTCTACATGTTTCGACGTATACTATTGCGTCATCCTCAGGAGTGTGGGGAAAAAATTTTAATTTGAAAACAAGTTTTTTTATTATATCGTATTTGGAATGTACATAATCTTTATATTACTACAGATAAACAAACACACAAATAATGTGACTTAAGGTTACTTTTTTAATACTGACCCAAAAGGTAAGGTATTCGTATTTCTTAATTCAGATGTTAATATTCGTTACAATTCATTTGGATCGATCCCGCCATTCACATGTTACAGGATCTTGCTTTTCATTTCAGGCGTCGGAGGAATTTCGCATAATATTTCTAAAAATAGGCCTAGGATCCCCAGAAGGGTAAAATCTCCATCCAGGAGATTGGATTGAAGAAGGTAATTTTCAAGACACGAGATCACAGAAATGATTTTAGAAAAAAAAAAAGCATAGAAATGCACATTTGATGACAAGGTAAATTGCTGAAAATTATAATTGGACCTCCTAGTTGGTTAGGGTCGACTATACGATGCGGATTTCAGACCCTTATCATAGTGTGTTTTTCTAAAGTATCAAATACATTCACTTTAT